TGAACCCGCTTTTCTCTTGGCAGTAACGAGTGACCAATACTTTTACATAATGGGACTGTGTAAGGCTTTTCTCTTGCACTAGTACGAGCTCATCCACCGATACTGTACGTTGACGAGCGTGAAGTCGTTTGTCCACAGTTTCTTTTACGCCAGTTTTGGCTGTTGTGTCCTCCAGTCGGAATGTTTATCTTTGCTCGGCTTGCTGTAATTCGTAGGAGTTGTTCTAATTTCCCTTTGAAACATAACAGACGACTTTCCTGTGGGATGACTCGGATGTTTCGTAGAAAATCCCCCAAAGATTCATATCCACGACAATGCTGTAGACTATCCATGCTTTCAATACTTTCTTAAGAGTCCGCATATATCTTTCTGCCTCAGAAATAACTTTCGGCCACTAGGAATCTTTTTAAAGCTAGAAACCTGGGTGTACCTCAAAGTTTTTGAAATTTTGGCTGTTGAACAATCAGTTTCTAATACTCGTGATAAACTGAATAGAGCAAAAATTAGCTTAGTATAACAGCTTTTGCTATTGTGTTTGTTAATGTTTTTAAGACGGGACACCATGAGTATTCATCAACAGTTTCAAGTAAGTATTTTCTCGTTGTTAGTGGTCCATAAAAGCCGAAACTGAGTTATTTTCACGATTCTCTGGTAAACGATGACATCTTTAGAGGCTCATAAGTGTGTGTGGTGAATTGATAGACGTTTGGCATAAAATAAGACTTGATCTTACAAGAGCTTTTTTAAATGGAGAACACGATTTTTTTTTCTTGGAGCAATACTTTGGTGACCTTGGTGTATTATACGCTGTACGACAACATTATGTATAACATTCAGTGACCCATTCCAAGTGAGGTCACGTTCTTTAAACAAGGTTAATTATTGCCGTTTTTACGTATCGCTGGAGCTTCAGTGACTCAGCGTGTTCAAAGTAGCCTGTGACGTGAATAACTGTGGTGATTGATTGTAATGTCTAGTGTTTTGATATTTCTTGTTTGATTTCGTCCAGTGACATGGCTTACATATTGAATGTGTCATTCCGTAAGTTTTTCGGTTGATTAGATTTCGGATGCCGTGACACGTAGTCAGTTGGCAGGTGCAAGGTTTGAAAGCTGTACGGTTTTAGTTGATAATGTTGACGTTTAATCCTTGCACGTGGTCGGGATCTAGAGTCATTGAAAATTAGCTGCAAGGCTTTGAAGTCTGTCATCGGCTTGAACTGTATGGCGTAGAGGTAGAGGTGGTAATGTCCACATGCCTATTCTATGGCAACAGCTTTCTTCTTCGTATGGCATAGAGATGGTAATATCCACATGCCCATTCTATGGCAACAGATTCCTCTTCTGTAAGACGTAGAGGTAGAGATGGTAATATCCACATGCCCATTCTATGGCAACAGATTCCTCCTCTGTAAGACGTAGAGGTAGGGATGGTAATATCCACATGTCTATTCTATGGCAACAGATTCCTCTTCTGTATGACGTAGAGGTAGGGATGGTAATATCCACATGCCTATCCCATGGCAACAGCTTTCTTTTTCGTATGGTGTAGAGATAGAAATGGTAATGTCCATATGCCCATTCTATGGCAACAAATTCCTCTTCTGTATGACGTAGAGATGGCAATGTCTACATGCCTATTCTATGGCAACAGCTTCCTTTTCTGTCTATGAATATCTTTTGTCAACATCAGTGAGCGCTCGGCTGACATTGACAGTGATTTTACTTTCTCTGTTTGGTGTAGCCTCTAGTCCCACAAAACTGGAATCAATATTTACTTTTGTGAGCAGGATGGGACCAAAATATGCTACTAAGCTATTTTTTAGTAGAGTTAATGAATTCTCGTATTCTCTTGACCATATCCATTGTGTTTCTTCTTGTTTTTGTCACCTTACGCAGGAAGTGTGTGTGATTTTGCTAAATTGAGTTTGAAATATCCATTGTGAGTTACAAGGTCTAACAGACTTGGCACTTCAGAAAAGATTCCATTTCTTCAATGGCTCTGACCCTTTTTGGGTTCGGAAAAATTCTTCCTTTTTGAGAATATGTATCCAAAGTATTCGAATCTAGACTTATTAAACTTTCATTTATCTTGATGAAAAGTTAACGTAGCCTTTCCAAAATGGCCTTGAGTGCTTTGTCGTGGTTCTCTTGGTTGATAGAATGTACTAAAATGTTGTCACTGGTATTTGTGGCACCAGGAATACCATCTAAGGCTTGACGTATGGTGTTTTGAATGTCGTCACTGGTATTTGTGGCACCAGGAATACCATCTAAGACATAACGTATGGTGTTTTGAATGACGTCACTGATATTTGTGGCGCTAGAAATACCATCTAAGACGTGACGTATGGTGTTTTGAAAACTTCTAGTCCTGATGATATCTCGAAGTTTAGTCTGGTATATCATCTAATATCTAGATGAGTAGAGAACGTGATAATGTATACCAACTCTCTGGTGCTATTTCTAGCGGGTAATATCCTACCTTAAAATCTAATTTAGAAAGGCTTGAGCTCCATTCAGATTTTCTATTATGTCGTCGATTGTTGGGTTGATATATTTTTCTCTTTGGAATTCTCATGTCTGAACGTACTCTGTTCTTGGGATTGGGAGTGACACGTACTCTGTATTTAGGATTGGGAGTGACTATATCGATGAAACTCCTAGAGGTGATCCGTCTACATGTTCTATCATTCTTGGATTTCTAGCGATGCCAGATCTTCTTCTTCTTCCTGTTTTCTGATGTCGAATTTAACTTGTCTTTGTGTTCGAGTCACCGACAATAATAATCTTTGTGTTCGAGTCACCGACAATAATAATCTTTGTGTTCGAGTCACCGACAATAATAATATTTGTGTTCGAGTCACCGACAATAATAATCTTTGTGTTCGAGTAACCGACAATAATAATATTTGTGTTCGAGTCACCGACAATAATAATATTTGTGTTTCCCTACAATGATTTAATCCCCCCCCACACACACACAGTGGCACAGCGGTAAGTCTGAAGACTTATAACTCTGAAAACAGCACATAGAGATCATTGTGTAGCTTTGTGCTTAATAACAAACAAACATAGTGAATTAAATATACGAGACTCCTACCGTCAGTTTACACAAATTAAATACAATCACCAGTTATTTTCTTCTTTTTTTTTCTATTCAGCGGAGCAGTGACATTTTAATTCTTCTTGAAAAATTCAAGACTAAAGCCGATTAAGCTTCGTCCACTGGATATTGCTTGGTAAACCAAGATGTGATGATATTGCTCTTTCATCATGATATCACAATTCGTTGTATCTATTTTGATAATATCTCCCGCTCCAGTACAACAACAACAACAAAACATCCTCACGTGTTTCGCTGTTTTGCGTATTTACTCTTAAATTTCTGATGGTCACGTTTCCACAAAAAAGACACTCTCGAAGTTTACAAAAGTACAATCTTTGATACTGTCTGTAGCACATTTTCCAACTTATTTAATTCTTTGCAAAGTTTAAATGTTTGAACATGTTCACACACGAAATAAGAAGCTTTTAGCAACTTTTCAATAAAGACTACTTTCGTACAACCGTCTTCAAATAGTTCTATTGTTGATCCTGTATTCCTGCATGCATATCCTGTACTCCTGCATTTCTTATTTGTGGTGTTTTCAATTAGTGTGATATACAATTCTTCGTTGGTTGCTCTTGATATTTTTCGTTAAGCCTTGTTTCATCTCTTTAAACTCAGTTCTCTTGTAGCGAAAAGTGTAAATGTTTTTTTAAATATCAAACTTCGAAATGATAAATTGTTTGATCATTGTATCATTGAGTTTTGTTTTATTATATAGATAATAACTTGTGTTCGTTTTCAATTCTTTATTCGAAAATCTCGTTAATTATTTCTCAGTTTTAACTGTGTTGGAAATTAGCAAAGTTTTTTTGGTGGTGTTTGTACTTTACCAGTGTCTCATTGCAATTAATTTTTAATTGAAACAAGAACGTTGGTGATTTAAAACTGATGTAAAAACTATACGAAACATTATGACAGCATGTCGCAATGGACCAATTCATTTTAAAAAACACATTTAATTGTGCCCACCAATATTATGTGTAATTATATAGTGATAATATTCATAAGGTGAATAATTATTTTGCTGACATTGGTTCCAATTCATTAAAGTTTTTACGTCAAATTTAAAACCTTTTGACTCATACAGACTATCTCAGTACTGAAATGTAGTGAATCTGCTGATTTTAATGTTTTGTTTCCTGAAACTCAACCTCTAAGGGCTTATTGTTTTAATAAAATTGTTTGTTTACCCAGCTCATTGTAAAATGTTTAAATACTATCGTTTTTGATTTGTTTGTTTGTAATTAAGCACAAAGCTACACGATGAGCTACCTGTGCTCTGCCCACCACGGGTATCGAAACCCGGATTCTAGCGTTGTAAGTCCGCAGACATACCGCTGTCCCACGGGAGGGGGCATCGTTTTTGAACTTCATGGTGTTTCTATATCACCTTTGTAAAAAATATTGATTGTGAAAAAGGCACCAAAATACATCACCAATCTATAGTAAAACGTTTGATCTTATGAGCGTCGAGCGTGGCCTAATGCTTAGTGAATAAGGCAGCGGATCGAAGGGTCCAAGGTTCGAGACGTGGTGCTCATAAACACTCTCCGCACTTCCCACCGCGGGCACGTTATCAAAATTAACATCCATCTCCGCTATTCTGTAGAAAGAGCCAGGCAAAGTCATTGTGGCGGCGGATGCTTCTGGATCCTTCCTTATGGCTTGTAGTTCAAAACCAGGGACGAGGTCTTTGAAACAGGGTGTTGTTCCCATTGAAAATTCTATATTTATTTATCTCATGTGGTATCTCCATGGATTTCTGTCTACAATTCAAATCTCTGAAAAGTGTACGATATGTAATGTCAGTACTTACTTTGTATGAGTGTCGTTTCAATAAAAAAAAGTTTTAACAACTAAATTTGAGGTTTGTATTTGTTTGCTTTTAGCGTTTCCTGTGTCTCCCTCCGGGTCTGACTCTAGTCAAGTTTCTCCATTGGAACTGACCACCTCACACCATATCAAAAAACACAGGCTCGGCGAAGGCGAGGGTGGTGACGAAAAACGGACCTCTCGGGAAGTAGGAGTCGGGAAAAACCGTCGGAGACGAACAGCCTTCACTAGCGAGCAACTGTTAGAACTAGAGAAGGAGTTTCATTCTAAGAAGTACCTGTCACTTACGGAGCGTTCACAGATTGCCCACTCCCTCCAACTCAGCGAAGTCCAGGTGAAAATTTGGTTTCAAAACAGGCGCGCCAAATGGAAGAGGGTGAAAGCCGGCCTGACGTCAGGACGGTCATCAACTAGCTCAGGCCTCCACAAGATTGTCGTACCTATTCCTGTTCATGTTAACAGGATGGCCATTCGAAGTCAACACCAGCAGTTGGAGAAGTCAGCCGCGAGGTAAGTGTCTGCTAGCTCCACCTATTGAAACTCTAGTAAGTTTCTGTCTTTTTGTTTCAGATCTTCTAATACTAGAGCTGACAAAAATTAAGTAAAATTACAGAACAGATGTATTAGGTAAATATGGATTTCACAAGATTTAAAAAGGTTTTAGATAATACACTGAGGATTCTCAGAAAACAACTGTCAGTTCTTCTCCTCTCAAAATCTTTATACAATTGACGCACATTGATACCAAAATAAATTTACCACACTAAGTTATAAGTTAACTATCCTAACCTATAGTCTTAAGCACACCAAGCTATAATATACAATTTTATGTATAATTATTTTTGTATTTCGGCGGGTTTTTTTTTTGCGTATTTTTCTTTCTCTTACACTCGTTATTTCTTTACTTAGCACTGTTTCTTTTGAACAACCAGACATTACTGTTATGCTTGAAATTGTTATACAAAAACAACAATAACAGCTTGACAAGATCTGTCATAGTGCGAGAAATACAACGAATTTACGATGCAATATAAGAAAGTAGCTTCAATTTCAGTTACCGGTTTTTATGGTTTGTAACTTATCTGATTTTTTTATCCTATGTGAATTTTCAGTATTGTGTCTGTGTATATGTATGTACGCGCAGTGGTAAAATTGTTTTTAAAGACGTACAGATACTCCTTTGTCAGGACCTATTTTCATGGTGTATTGGGGCATCACGTTTTCTGTAACTAAACTACATAGGCAGCTGAACCGAGGGGGTCACGTGCCCCCATATTTGACCAGATAGCGAAGTGCCCCTTTGAATGAGGAATAGAGATTTATACAATAACTATCGTGGAATGTCGCTGTTTCAGTTTTCAATTCAGCTGTCACGGTTAACATAACAAATAAAGTGCTCCCTCAAATTCAAATATGTTCCGCCGCCTATGAACTATTGAATTTTTAACTGCCAAAAAAATAAAATAATAACGGGAATCGGTATCGGTTAAAGAAAAAAAAAGAGTACTTTAGTTGGAATTCCATGAAATAACCACTACTGTGTTCCGGTGAGTACCGGCAGGATTTCACCACGTATATACATATTTGCTTTAAAAGTATTTGTGATGTTATGAGATAAGCTCATTACGGCGAAATTCGCCGTGACGGTGGACTAATGCTAAAACGATTCGACTAAGAACAAAACGATTATTAACTTAATGGGTTAAGTACTTAGCCTACCGTCACTTTGTACATATATATATATATATATATATATATATATAAAAGAAGAACAAATAAAACTAAGACATAAACTATAATTTGGAAAGGTTAAAAAACGTACTTTAAAGTAAAAAAGGTATCTGTAGATGTCGAACTGCAGCGGAAACGATACACCGTTTATTAGATTTAATTTCTATTTAAACATTTCATATGTTGAAAATAAGAACAAAGTTATGGACATCTTTGGGCACTGGGGTTCGTCACGTCAAATGTCTAAAATTACCGTCTACTCTCTACAGCCAAGAAAAAAAAACAACAAAGAAAAACGTCAAATTTTTCAATATTTCTTAAGTGACATATTTCCGTATTATTCTGCTATTTTAGTAACTTGTACTATACACACCTACTGTATTGCTTAAGCCTAATTTATTTTAATTCACAGAGAAGCTAGACGTGTTTTTTTTTAATGTAAAAATGTTTTATTAATCTAAGTCTACTTAATTGTTAATACTTCTAATGGAACATAGCTAGCTATTTTTAAAAGAATAAAGATAATATTAAAACGAATTACTACGACTAAACGAAGGTGATAAAACTTATCCAACTGAAGCTGTATGAACAGTATGATAAAACTTATCCAACTGAAGCTGTATGAACAGTATGACAAAACCTAAAATGTTGAGGTTAAAATGTATTACTGTTAGAAGAACGAAAAATTACATTCTCTCTCCAAATACAAAAAGTAATAAACTCAAATAAAAAACCCAAGCTCTGGCTTATTATATTCTTCATTGCATTTTTCTATACATGAACGTACATGGACTTTTTTTGTCATACTGTCACGATCTCTGTTTATCGCTTTTGTTGCAGGATTTATGCGATGTTTTAACATTGAAAAAAAGTTTATTTCTGCACATTTTGGATGTAAATGTTAACATTTGCTTTTATAAAAGAACACTTAAAATAATGAACATCTATTGTATAAACCATAGTTTAGTATTTTAATAAAAATACAGAAAGAAATAATTTATTTATATAATATTTCTTTTAATCATCTCATACCTTAATTAAAACTCCAAACATGATCCCAAACTGAGAAATAATGGCGCAAAACTGTCCTTGATTCTCAGAGGATACAATGGAAAATGTTCTTTCATCTTTCGTAGCAGTGTGCTAGAAACCGTGTTTCGATACCCGTTGTGGGCAGAGCACAGATAGCCCATTGTGTAGCTTTATTCTTAACTTCAAACAAACAAACAATTCATAGCAGTGTATTGATGAGATCATTTTGTCGCTTGGGGGTGTACAGTCATTTGTCGTCTTATAAGATTTGAAACAACTCTGACAAGTTCTAGCATCACTTGGCTGCGTATCGGGAGGTCCAAGGTTCTGTTCGCATCAGAACATGGGCCGCATTTTCATGTGATAATACTGACCACAAATCCTGCTATTCAGTCAAGTTTGTTCTATGTGTAGTTAAGCACAAAGCTGCACAATGGGCTATCTGTGCTCTGCCCACCACGGGTATCGAAACCCGGTTTCCAGCGTTGTAAGTCTGCAGACATGCCGATGTGCATTCAGTCAAGAGTATCCGCGAGAACAATGGTGCCGCTGACTGGTTTCCCTTCTGGTCAGTAGTTCTAAATTAGGGATGGCTATATCTGAACCTGGGGATATCGGCCTGGCCATCTAGCTCACGTGCCGCATAAGGTAATATTTCGGTTAATAATACCAAATGCAATCCTTGCAGGAACAAATATTTGATGAAAACAAAGTTACAGATATACAAAAAATGCTTGGTTGTATCTAAGAAAAAATGGACGTAGGGCATAGGTTGAAAAAAGGGACTATTACACACATAGATAGAGCATAGATTAACAAGATTTATTTTTCGTTCATTTTGAAATCTTTTAAACATAAAGTGTCAATCCGGTAACAACAACAACAAAATAGGGGATTTTTTTTTTAACTTTGCATGTACACAAATAGATATTAAACTTAATAATTATCCCTGGTCAAATGAGATGCTGACAATTGAAAATAAATCCTGCGAAACGTATTAGGATGTATGTTCATACGTACACGTTCAACATGCCGTTAAAAATTAACTTTCTTGGAATAACATATAAATAAAATTACTGAGTAAGGTTTCTATTATAAGTAGCGGAGTTGCCAACACGCTATTTTATAATTAGAGGTTTAGTGATGATTAATAAATTAAAAGACAATTACTTATATAGGGTGAAGGGGTAACAGATTGTCTTAATGAAACAAGATTACTTATATAGGGTGAAGGGGTAACAGATCGTCTTAATGAAACAAGATTACTTATATAGGGTGAAGGGGTAACAGATCGTCTTAATGAAACAAGATTACTTATATAGGGTGAAGGGGTAACAGATCATCTTAATGAAACAAGATTACTTATGTAGGGTGAAGGGGTAACAGATCGTCTTAATGAAACAAGATTACTTATGTAGGGTGAGGGGAAACAGATCGTCTTAATGAAACAAGATTACTTATGTAGGGTGAAGGGGTAAGAGATCGTCTTAAGTAATAACATGTCTGTTTAGGGTGATGGAGATAAGAAAACATATTACATGTTAACATGTTTGTTCATGATCACGGAGTGACAGATCGTCTTAAGTAATAACATGTCTGTTTAGAGTGATGGAGATAAGAAAACATATTACATGTTAACATGTTTGTTCATGATGCCGGGGTGACAGATCGTCTTAAGTAATAACATGTCTGTTAAGGGTGATGGAGATAAGAAAACATATTACATGTTAACATGTTTGTTCATGATGGGATAAGAGATCATCTTAAGTGTTAACATGTTTGTTTAGAGTGATGGAGATAAGAAATCATATTACATGTTAACATGTTTGTTTAGAGTGATGAAGATAAGAAATCATATTACGTGTTAACATGTTTGTTCATGATGACAGGGTAAGAGATCATCTTAAGTGTTAACATGTTTGTTTAGAGTGATGGAGATAAGAAATCATATTACATGTTAACATGTTTGTTTAGAGTGATGAAGATAAGAAATCATATTACCTGTTAACATGTTTGTTCATGATGACAGGGTAAGAGATCATCTTAAGTGTTAAAAAATGTTTGTTTAGAGTGATGTGGTAAAAGGTCACTTTAGGTGTTAAAAATGTTTGTTTAGACTGATGTGGTAAAAGGCCACTTTAAGTGTCGACATGTTTGTTTAGAGTGATGTGGTAAAAGGTCACTTTAAGTGTTGACATGTTTGTTTAGAGTGATGTGGTAAAAGGTCACTTTAAGTGTTAAAAATATTTGTTTAGAGTGATGTGGTAAAAGGTCACTTTAAGTGTTAAAAATTTTTGTTCAGAGTGATGTGGTAAAAGGTCACTTTAAGTGTTAAAATGTTTGTTTAGAGTGATGTAGTAAAAGGTCACTTTAAGTGTTGACATGTTTGTTTAGAGTGATGTGGTAAAAGGTCACTTTAAGTGTTAAAAAGTTTTGTTTAGAGTGATGTGGTAAAAGGCCACTATAAGTGTTGACATGTTTGTTTAGATCATTCATAAATGATAGCATGTGGACAAAGTTATAATTCGGAAACGGAAACAAACTTTTTTTAGGGTGAAAGGGTATATATATAATGGTAATGATAATTTCCATTACATCATATTATCACATATCCTTTGTTTTTATACAAATGTAAACACAAGTAATACTTAGTGGCTGTGTTATTTTTTTTTACAATTTGTTTGTTTTTGAATTTCGCGCAAAGCTACACGAGGGCTATTTGCGCTAGCCGTCTCTAATTTAGCAGTGATA